CGAACCGGGTCTTCGACATGACGAGCGAACGCTTTAATCACTAGGCTACCCCACCGCCCTGTTTACCTACAGGACATACACTGCAGCTGATATTTCATTAGAGATTGCTTTTTTAGCACAGCAGAAGACTATTCAAACCCACAATAACTGGATTCTGGCATACCCAAGGGACACAACTCTGATATGGAATTAGCGGCACATGAACCACTTATCCCTTTAAATAAAGAAATCAGTAGTGGAAAGACGTGAAGATGTTCCCATGACACTGATGTAAAAAGTATATAATCAAAATTAATTTTAAAAAATTGGATTCGAACAGGAGCTAAAATTGCCAATAAAATAGCCATAGAAAGTTAAACTTTGCTAAAATATTAATCAAGTGACAGATTACAACCATCTCACCAGATCGTTAGTGAGTGAGTGAGTATGGTTTAACGCCGCTTTTAGCAATATTCCAGCAATATCACGGCGGGGGACACCAGAAATGGGCTTCACACATTGTACCCATGTGGGGAATCGAACCCGGGTCTTCGGGGTGACGAACGAACGCTTTAACCACTAGGCTACCCCACCGCCCCCAGATCGTTAGTACAACAGCAGGTTTAACAAACACCATTGCCTGATGCCCGTATCAGTGTTAATCCGGACGGTTCGCGTTTCTCAGTAAATTGCGTCGGTTTGCGAACAGTCGGACTACTGAATCAAGACCCAAGTTGCTTCCCTAACTATTACAAAAGCGACACGAATCTGGATAAAACAAATAAGCATTTAATGTAAAGCAATTCATCACATCAATAATTTTACCGAGTGACATCCGCATGTTGATCCGGCGTGTCTGATCCGTCCTTCCTCAGCGCACAGGTGAGGGAATGTCTAACAAAGCGATCTATTGTAGTATGCCTTGAATGTCGAATTATTCCTGCATCCATCGGTTGAATATGAGGCGTGGTATTTGGTCACATTTCTCAAAGTTAGCGGACACACTTGTGACTTGCAGCATTATTAAGTAAAGCAAAATCACTTTAAGTCCGCGTGACATCTGTCTGTCGTCAAAGTACATTAACCAATCACAAAACAGCTCACTTGTCATCCATGCTTTGTATTGTGGTGTCAATCAAAGTGTAAAATGTACAGTATCTTCAGTCGGGAGCTTTTTAATGTCTAATTAAAACAACAACCCAGTTGGCCAGTTAATTAAGTAAACACTCGCCGAGGTGGTGTTGTTACGTTCATAATACGCGACTTACAGCGTCGGACTGTCAAACAATTTACTGTTTATTTTACTGATTGGTGACAGCTACTTCACCGTCCGGTTCGAGCGAATTTCCGGATTAACAGCTCAAGTCGGACTAACGGGGCTTCACTGTATCTGGTTTTAACATGAGTACATACTCCAGTCAATTCTGTGTTCTGACTTCAGTTGTCAATTTCTGGAATTCTGCAGAAAGTCTGGGATAATTCTGCTGAAAATCTATAAACTTTTACACCTAGCTTTGGCAAATATCCCAGTTTGGCACTAGTATTTCTGGGACTTTTCTGATAAACTTATCACCTTCTTGATTAGCTTATGGAAGTGAACCTAGACATTGTAAGTGTAAATACACAGGCGTGCATTTCAAGTTTTCAGAAATATGAGTGGAAACCTCCCTTTTCAATAAAATGAGGAGACTGAATTAATTTAAAACTTTCTCAAAACATCAAATTTAAAAGGTTAATTTGTAAGGTGTTTGCTTATAACATAAAAACAATAAATCATTTATTATCATTTATTATTATACTAGGATCCTTTAGTGCTGTATCAAATACAATACTGTTGTATAAATACAATACTGTTGTATCAATACAATACTGTTGTATCAATACAATACTGTTGTATCAGATACAATACTGTTGTATCAATACAATACTGTTGTATCAGATACAATACTGTTGTATCAGATACAATACTGTTGTATCAATACAATACTGTTGTATCAAATACAATACTGTTGTATAAATACAATACTGTTGTACCAATACAACACTTGTATAAATACAATACTGTTGTATCAGATACAATACAGTTGCATCAATACAATACTGTTGCATCAATACAATACTATTGTATCAACACAATACTTTGTATCAATACAACTCTTGTATAAATACAATACTGTTGTATCAGATACAATACAGTTGCATCAATACAATACTGTTGCATCAATACAATACTATTGCATTAATACAATACTTTTGTATCAACACAATACTTTGAATCAATACAATACCTTTGTATCAATACAATACCTTTGTATCAACACAATACTGTTGCATCAATACAATACTGTTGCATCAATACTTTTGTATCAACACAATACTTTGTATCAATACAATACTGGAGTATCAATATAATACCATTGTATCAATACAATACTGTTGCATCAATACAATACTGTTGCATCAATACAATACTGTTGTATCAATACAATACCTTTGTATCAATACAACACTGTTGTATCAATATAATACCATTGTATCAATACAATACCTTTGTAACAATACAATACTGTTGTATCAATCCAATACCTTTGTATCAATACAATACCATTGTATCAATACAATACCTTTGTATCAATACAATACCATTTTATCAATCAATCCAATCCACCTGTTGTATCAATACAATACCATTGTATCAATATCATCAATACAATACCTTTGTATCAATACAATACCTTTGTATCAATACAATACCTTTGTATCAATACAATACCGTTGTATCAATACAATACTGTTGTATCAATACAATACCATTGTATCAATACAATACCTGTTGTATCAATACAATACTGTTGTATCAATATAATACCATTGTATCAATACAATACTTTTGTATCAATACAATACCATTGTATCAATACAATACTTGTGTATCAACACAATACTGTTGTATTAGTTTTGTTGTATCAACACAATATTGTATCAATACAATACACCAGAAATGCTTAACACATTGTTACAATACGGTTGTATCAATATAATACCATTGTATCAAGACAATACATTTGTATCAATACAATACTGTTGTATCAATATAATACCATTGTATCAATACAATACTGTTGTATCAACACAATACCATTGTATCAATACAATACCATTGTATCAATACAATACCGTTGTATCAATACAATACCGTTGTATCAATACAATACTGTTTGTATCAATACAATACCATTGTATCAATACAATACCGTTGTATCAAATACCAGATAGTAACAACATCTACAACATCTGATTATCGAAGGAAAATAATGTTTAGGATCAACTACTCCAGATAATGGTTGTCAAGGAGACTAAAAACAAACATACTTTTGGCCATAACATGCTCTTTACACATTCACAAACAGATAAGGGAAAGAAAAACAACAATTAACCAGGAATCATGTTTCCAAGGACTTGATGATAGGGATGGCTGGTTGGTTTGTTGGTTGGTTGTTTAATGCCGCACTCAGTAATAATCAAGCTTTATTACCTACAAGGGCGAACATATTGGGGTTCATATTTTTCATACGATGCCCTAGGGCAAAATATCACTTTGTTATGGTGACGTGATGTCATGAACAATGCTATGACGTCACATTTCTTTTGTGACGTTGCATTATACATGCGGTGACGGCAGGTAGACAGTCTATGTTCGAAAGTAGATTTGGGTTATTTTCCTCAATTTGACGACTTCTGTAATAAACAGAATATTATATTTGTGCCCATATCATGCTATGTTTATGACACTCGTGCCTAAATATCGGTATATCCCTTGCTCTCGCCTGGGAAAAACCAACGTTTAGGCACTCGTGTCGTAAACATAGTATGACATGGGCACTCATATAATATCCTCTATATATGGCGTCAGTCTGTAAATAATCGAGTCTGGACCAGACAATCCAGTGATCAACAGCATGAGCATCGATCTACTTTATTGGGATGCAATGACATGTGTCAACCCAGTCAGCAAGCCTGACAAACCGATCCCGTTAGTCACCTTTGAAGTATGGGTTGCCGAAGACCTATCATCATCAATCTCTGCGGGCTTGATGATAGGGATCCGAAATCGGATATTAAATCACCCTCTGACAAGGGTTTGCTGTTGTTGTTGTTGTTGTTGTTTTTAAAGATAGACAACTTCTTTATTGAATAGATGTGACGATGCTAACAACGTTATCTTGAAAGGTTGGATCTATTCAATAAAAAACTGACCCGTGAAGAGCTGAGATAGAATTGGCCTTCAGTAACCCATGCTTGTTGTAAGAGGCGACTAACGGGATCGGGAGGTCAGGCTCGCTGACTTGGTTGACAAATGTCATCGTATCCCAACTGCGTGGATTGATGCTCATGCTGTTGATCACTGGATTGTCTGGTCCAGACTCGACTACTTACAGACCACTGTGATATAGCCGGAATATTACTGAGTGCGACTTTAACCAACCAACAATAAAGAAGTCTATCCATAAAAAAAATTTCAGCTTCATTACATCAGCTTCTGAATGCCACTAGAAGCTCGGACAAGGGCAAACTTTACACACATCTCTGTACCAATTCACACAACACGCTAAGGACGATGAGATCATGTTCCCCTTTTCAAAATTACATCCATTTCCTCAATTCCAAATATTCAGTTTCACGCACAAACCAAGATAACGGCCCAAACAGCCAGAATCACACCTCGCCAAAATCTAATCAAATTCCTGAAAATGCATCTAAACCATCTTTGGATGAAGGGAACGAGAAGCGGGATGCAGCACAGCATGAACACCTCAATCATGTAATTAGTTTAATTCAATGTTAATTACACATCACTGTCAGACAATTTCACTTCCACTAACAACGTTACAAGGCAATGTCAGAATCAGAAATCTTGTAACCACGACAACCATCAATATGAGGGGCGCACTGACAAGACTAATATGGTTATGGTATCGAGAGCAGGCTAAAGCAAGCAAACAAAAACGTGCAGCATTTACCTTCATTGGACGCTGTCGGAATTTCAGAGCCTAGAAAAGTTGAAGAAAGCAGTGAAGCATAAAAAGAGCAAAAAGTTCACAAAGTAAACATACGAAATGGCAATAAAACATAAATAGCAAATAATAACAAAGCTGAAAGAAGACAGTGCAGCTAATATTGGTTTATCAGTTGGATATTGGCCCGGAAAGACTTCCGCCCATATCCCCCCTTAAATTTCATTCTTGTCAAATCATATCACCTGAATATATATTCCTCATCTGATAAGGACGATTTTTAACATGTTTCTTTAACTGCATTTTAACATACTGAAAAACATATCCAACTTCTAACAATGCCACTCAAATAAATCTTTCCTCCTCTTTAAAATTTAGGGGGGGTACGGGCGTAAGTCTTACCATTGGCCCTTATATAACTAATCCAAATTATATACTTTTTGCTATTCACTGACATCATAAACATAATTTTTCTTTGAGTATACTCTGTGTTTTAAAAGATCATTGTTCGAACTACTGATAATACTACTTAATATTTCATACATAATAATCAAAAGTTAGGTCCTGGATACACAGATTCTGCCAAAATTAACTCTCCTAAAACACAGATTTTGCTGATATTAACTCCCCCAAACACAGATTTTGCTGAATTTAACTCCCTCAAAACACATATTTTGCTGAAATCAACCCCCCCAAAACACAGATTTTGCCAAAATTAACTCTCCCAAAACACAGATTTTGCTGAAATCAAACCCCCCATGAACACAGATTTTGCCGAAATTAACTCTCCCAAAACACAGATTTTGCCGAAGTTAACTCCCCTAAAACACAGATTTTGCTGAAATTCCCTACTGCCCTCCGAAACAGCAGACTTATGCAAACAAGGAAATTGACATACAACAGTGTCACCCTGACAGAAGTGCAGCTGTTGGCCAGCTGGGTCAGTCTGACCTATAGCCACCTGCATGAATGAACAGCCTGCCTGCTAAAGCTCAGGCTAAAATTACAAAATATTTTGTTTTATGAAACTGACTGATCCAAAACCTCTGTAAGAATTAGTATTTTCATGAACTGTGTCATGGAGACGCAAATAATGCAACTGTCTGAATAAATAAACAGTACATGGCATGCTAATGTTTAGCGAATATTTCTATCATGGCAAAATACACCTGAAAGTTCAGTGTCACTGGCTGATGTTTTCAACACAAGAGTGATAATATGCTTACAAGGTTCTTTTGTTACTAAACAATGACAACGGTTATTTATCATCTGACCTCGCTGACCACATCAATGCAATGAAATTACATCACAATCCCTTGCGGAGCACTGTTACATCATCGGTTGCCATGACATCACAATCGAATGACATCACCAATCTCTGCTGCTGAAGCTGGTTAGCAGAAAGTTCCACTGAAGGGGTCATTGTCAGCATGGGTACTACAGATGTGTACCCTAGCCAAATTCAGAATACAGAAACGTACCCTTGGACGATTCCATTCTGCATTGTGGAGTTTTCTTCATCGGAACGGTCATACTGTTGTATTAGATGCATTTGATATCGTTATATAAGAGCATACACAGTAACGAATATGTCACGGTGCACAACGTACACCACTCGCAATCAGCTGAACGGGAACAACTACATACGGTTTCGGTTTTGGGTTGCGGAATATGGACTCATCCGTCGTTTAGGGTACCGGGTACGTTTCTGTAGTTTGTCTTTGTTTAGGGTACATGTCTGTATACAGAAACGTACCTGGGGTACATATCTGTAGTACCTGTGCCGACAACGACCCCTTCAGCGTAACTTCCACACCAGACACAGCCTACATTATCAATGTTCACAAACAGAAAGTGAGTGAGTGAGAGTGAGTGAGTTTAGTTTTACGCCGCACTCAGCAATATTCCAGCTATATGGCGGCGGTCTCTAGATAATTGAGTCTAAATCAGACAATCCAGTGATCAACAGCATGAGCATCGATCTGTGCAATTGGGAACTAATGACATGTGTCGACCAAGTCAACCTACCAACTACTCTTTCAGTTGAGTATTTCCAGTGTCAGAGGAAAAAGGTTTGTAGGTGAGAGAGTGAGTAAGTGAGTGAGTATGGTTTTACGCAGATTTTAGCAATATTCCAGCAATATCACTACAGGGGACACCAGAAATGGACCTCACACATTGTACCCATGTGAGATTCGAACCCGGGTCTTCAGCATGACAAGTGAACGCTTCAACCACTAGTCTACCCCATCGCCTAGAGTGAGTGAGTGAGTTTAGCTTTACACCGCATTCAGCAATATTCCAGCTATATGGCGGCGGTCTGTAAATAATCGAGTCTGGCCCAGACAATCCAGTGATTTGCAATAGAAACACAGGCAATGATGTAACTGTGTAGTTCTTTGTAGGAGTTCATTTTATCTTTGTTTTGATGCTAATTTTCTCTGTGTTAAAGATTCAAAACCTGCAGATTTGACAACAAATGATTTTGCTGCATACATATTTTAATTCCTGAATACCAAAGAGTGAGTGAGTGAGTATGGTTTTTGCTCTTAGCAATATTCCAGATTGGGGACACCAGAAATGGGCTTCACAAATTTTACCCATGTGGGGACTCGAACCCGGTCTTTGGCTTATTTTAACGCTGTAACCCTGCTACCCCACTGCCCACCAAAGAAAACAGAACAGGCATATTCTTTTCCATGCAGATTTCCATAATCCTAAACAGTCAAGATATAGTAGAATCAAAGTTAAGGAAGTGTTAAATTGTTAAATGAGTCAGTGAAAGTATAGTAGCAATATTCAGCAAGTTCACGCATGGGGACAAGAAATGGGCTTAACCCATGTAATTGTTATTGTTGTTGATATGAAGTAATCAAGATTGTTTAATTCTCTTTCTTTGTATTTTAAACCCGACCAACCTAACTTTAGATCATGGTGGCTTCGAGAAACACATAAAAATAATGTTGCCCTTATGTAAAGAAGACTGACTGACTGAGTATCCGCCAATGGCAAAGCAATATTCCATGAATATGTCTACAAGTTACCAGAAATGTCAAATATTTTGGTGTGTACCATTGTGAAAATGGAAGGAGAGTATTGAAAGGTTTTAGAAATTTTAACCAGAAAGGGCTAACCCCAATTTCTATGTACAAAGAAGAAACTTGTCATGCAATATGGAAATGGCAAAATACTCTTCATTGAATATGTCTAAAAGTTATGATTATGTCAGTATATTTTCTATCTATGTAGAAAAGTTTGGAGAGTATTGAAAGGTTTTAAAGTTCTGCTCTGGAAAAGAGCACTACCACCAATTTCAGTCTAAGTCAAACTTGTTGCCATGGAAACGCCTAAAATATTTTATTCAGAATTCCAAAACTACCAAAAGGCACCAGTACACCACCAGATCTATCCATGTGCCAAGTTTGGTGAAGAAATAGTGAACGGTTTTAAAGTTCTGTTCCGGAAAAGACAAATGTGCACAGACACATGCACGGAGTCCATTTTAATACCCCCCCACAAAACACGTTGCGGGGGATAATAATATACAGTTCTGTGGGCTTGAGGCACTGATCGGGAGATATGACTTTATGTCAGTCACTGTCAATCAATGAAACTGACATTAACAACACATGGCAAATGAAGTGGTGGATAATATGAGTAATATCCAACTTGTGTAACACACTGAATCTAAAACGGCTCAACAAAATCAATACTGTTCAGTATGACCTAACTTCAGATCAATACATACGATGCTATTTTCTGTATTGAGGTTACAGATGTTTCAGCAACAAGCTCATTTCACAATACAGCTTCTGCTGTTGCAGTTCGGTGTCGTGCGCCTCGGCCCAGTGACTTGTGTTAACTATGCCAACAAGTGACTCATAACCGATGATGTTGTTGATGATGAGTGAGTGAGTGAGTTTAGTTTTACGCCGCACTCAGCAATATTCCAGCTATATGACGTCGGTCTGTAAATAATCGAAGTCTGGACCAGACAATCCAATCATCAACAGCATGAGCATCGATCTGCGCAATTGGGATGCAATGACATGTGTCAACCAAGTCAGCGAGCCTGACCACCTGATCCCGTTAGTCACGCCTTTGAAGTATGGGTTGCCGAAGACCAATTCTAACCTGGATCTCCGCGGGCTTGATGATAGGGTATGAAATCGGATATTATCTGACAAGGGTTTCTTGTTGTTGTTGTTGTTGTTTTTAAAGATAGACAACTTCTTTATTGAATAGATGTGACGTTTCTGTGTAGATGCTAACAACGCTATCTTGAAAGGTTGCATCTATTCAATAAAAAATAGTGGTCAGGCTCGCTGACTTGGTCAGCGAGCCTGACCATTCGATCCCGTTAGTCGCCTCTTACGACAAACATGGGTTACTGAAGATCAATTCTAACCCGGACCTTCCTTGGTATGATGATGATGATGATGATGATGATGATGATGATGATGATGATGGTCATGGTTGTGGTGATGATGACAACGATGAGTTAGCATTCACAACATTATTAATTAATTATTTTTTTAATTTAAATATTTCAATATCAAAAACAGCCAAATTCATAAAGGGAAATAGTGTTACCAAATTCTGACTTCTCAAATTCAAAACTATTAACACAATTCTCTTCTCTTCCACAAAAAGAAAAAAATGACCAAGGCAGATAGAGAATGATACAATACACCAGGGCTCCAGATAATTTTTCAACATCAGGAGTATGTACTCCTTATTTGTTCAATATTGAGTACTGGAAAACCTTAAGTGTACATTTAGAGTACTGAATGGAAGCTAATGGACTATCAGTAATCTTGTGTTTCGTTTCATATATGCACCACAACATTGCTACACTTGTGTAAACAGGTCAATAAACAATAAAACAATACTTTTTTCAGATAAATACGTCTGTAAATGATTCTAAGACCGTACACGATTGCTGTGGTGCGTATCTGCTACGTTTTCTAAATTATTTCCTACTGTATCGTGCATATTTTTTATCCGTACATACGCCGATACGGCCCTTATCTGGA